ATCTTAAAGTGCAACCTGAATCTGCACTGGGACCCATTTGAAACTAGCATTGCTGTGGATTACTCAGTAAATGTTTGTAGTGCACACACCAACAGGCATGTGCTGCCTCCCAAATCCAAAGCCAGGCTCAAGTCTTTCTTATTCTTAGCAGTAGGAGCAGGAACTTGCTTTTCACTTGGAGGGGATACCTTGATTCTGGGGAAAATGCTCTAATCATCTCACCTCCACAGAGAAGGCAAAGATGACTGTCTAGGGAGCCTGAAGATTTGAACTGGGACAGATGCTGTGTGTGAGCATCTGCTGGAGGAAGAGCAGAGTAGAAGAGCAATGTGGCGGTGGACTCAGGATCCCTGGCAGGAGGACGAGAAGAATGTATCACAAGTATACTCAGAACACCCAACTCCAGGCCAGACTATAAATAAGACCCAGTGCTCAGCCCCTGGGAGCCTCCAGCCCTGGAGCTGCAATGTAGAAAGCAATGCTTCTGGAGAGTATATTGGGGGGCACAATAGGAAGTGTTTGTGCCCAGTGATAAGTGAAGGCTTTGCCTGGGCTGTTCGGTGGGGGAAGCATTGACTCATCGACCAGAAGAGAGGGACTGTGATGGCTGGTTTTACTTGTCAACTTCACATGACGTAGAATCGCTTGGGAAGAGTCTTAATGAAAGACTGTCTTGGTCAGGCTGGCCTGTGGGCATGTCTGTCTTCCTTGCTTTAACTTATATGAGAAGATGTAGCTACCTCCCTTGTCCTTTAAAGACAATAGCACTCTGCTCACTAATAGCCAACAGGCTCCTGTCCTTGGCTCACTAAGAGTTAACAGACTTCTTCGAACTTTGTTGATGTGGAGACTTGAGGGGGCAGTCTGCTCCCAGAATGCTCCTTAGACAGCTGTCCCTGGGATGCCAGGGCAGGCGGGTAGCCCCCCTCCCTTATGTTTCTGCATACATCAAAGGAGGTCTGTTACTGGGCCTTTGCCATGGCCTTGGGTGTGCTGTGCTGTTTTCTCGCCATTGTGATGAGAAAGTTCCTGTGTTTTGCACAGCTTGAGCACTCATCATATGTAAACTGTGTGAACTTCAAACAGAGCTTCTAATAAAAGCTCTCGAGAGGACAGTGAAAGTGCTCTTGAGCAGACAGATGTCAAGAGTTTCCTGGTCTAAACTCAGTTTTTCAGCATCAGTCAAGCAGGGGGGCTATGCAGTAGCAGGGGGTCCAACACCCTCTTCTGGCCTCCACAGGCATTGCCTGCATGGGTGCACTTACAAACATACAGGCAAATCACTCATATACATAAAATAAAAGTAATTTGTTTTAAAAAGTCAGGTACTAGACTAGAGAAATCAAGAACAAACTGTTAACTGCTTGTTTTATTCAATGTTGCACATTTTATTAATTGGAATCCACTAAGTCATTTCAGGGTGATTGAGGACATTCAGGTGTAAGTCCCTGGACTGTCAACATTCATTAGGCAAAGATAAGCCTCTTCAACAACAGTGGCTCTCAAAGGTACCCAGTGTTTTAAAGCTTATGTTTATCCACCTGTGATTTCACTAAACCTATCAAAGATCAGTGCAGCAGAAAGCCTTATCCTCGTTTCATAGTGGAATGAAAGCTCAGAGAGGTCAAGTGACCTGCCCAGGACCTCACAGCTGACAAGTGACAGGATCTGAATGCTGTCTGCTTACCTCAGGGACAGTGCTTCTACTGAAACCAGCTGAAAGGCAGTGTCTGGTCCACCTGCTTCCCTGTGTGACTCCCCAGTGCACAGGGGTGCCTGCCAGATAAGGTATGCCCTGAAACTTCAGGCCAAAGTCAGGAAAAATGTGCCACACAGCCTGGTAGGGTGGGGCCTGAATACCTTCGCTCCAGAGATTAAGATCTAATTCAGGTGGCTCCTAGCACCTGACCCTCTCAACTCCTAGGCACTTAGACACCTCAAAGGCATGGGTCCTGGGTGGCCACACCTTGCAGAGAAGGCAGCAAGAGGCCATGTTCTAGAAGAAGGTGTCCCATCCCAGTGCCCCATACAAGCCTGTGGGAGCCAGCATCAGGTAGCCCTTAGCTCCCAGTAGCTGTCAACATCTCCAAAATGGCCTACTTCACCCTGGCCAAAAGGACACATGAATCCAACGGAGAACAGCTCCATACGTCAGACTAGAGTTAGACCTCGAACACATGGCTTCTACATTCAGACTATATACCTTATGTACCTCAGAGTCAATCAGAATTGAAACCACCCTTGTGTAGGAGGGTTCTTTGGTTTCCTGGTGATGGAAGTTACAGTAATGGTGCACATTAGGACTTGGCATGCCTGCCATGCACTAGGTCCTCTGCTGAGGAGTTCCCCAATGCTAACTCATTTCACCTGTGAAAACTGAGACCCAGAGCAGTTAAGGAACTCATGATCATACAGCCAGCATGCCTAGCAGAGCTGGGATTCAAACCCAGGCAGTCTGTGTTAATCTCCTCACTCTTTTGTGTCTCTACATGCTTTGGGTAGACTGTATCCATGCCTGAGCTATGCCAAAGTCAGGACAGTGTGTTGGTTAACCTTGATTGTCAACCTGACTGGATTAGGACATGCATAAGATATTAGTCAAGTATACCTCTATATCATGTGGGTGCTGGGAATCAAACCTAGGTCCTCTGCAAGAGCAGCCAGTGCTCTTAACCAGAGCCATCTCTCCAGCCCTCTTAATCTCACCGTGATCTTCAGACACAGCTTCAGAAATTGACCTGACAAAGGAAACAGCCCAGATCTTTCTACATCCAGTCTATACTACATATTCTTATATCACTCATTCTTTATAGTGATCACATTCAACTATTAATGAGAAGCTACTATCATTATGTAACTGATTGGCAACTGGGTTCTTAACAATTTTTCATTTTTGCAGACAGCTGTCATAAAATCTTCCTATAAATGTTTCATAACACAACACTTAGATGGTTGGGTCTATACATATTGTGACTATTACTGGGTCATCATCTGCACAGGTGGTACCAATCTTCCATGCTTTCCCTAAGGCAGGAGAATTCCTGTACCCTGTGCTGTGCAGTCAACTGTAAAACTCCCCAGGCACTGTATTAGAACTTTCTAGAATAATTCCCAGTGGTGTACTAGCTATACAGGGCTTCTTGGTGGCTGTCAAAATGTTTGAATTTGGGAGACTTTTTAAAAGTCCACTGCAGTCAACTCCTCTGAGAGTTAGGTTGACTTCTAGTGTTCAGACAGTCCACAAGGACCCAGGCACTCAGGTCTGAATTCATGGAGTATCCACACAGGAAAAAAAGGAGCTGGGTGGTGATCAGCTGCACCCCAAAGTCTGCCCCTGCCACTCACTGGGAAGCCATCTGCTACGCACCCTGAGTGGGGGTTTATTTTCTTGTTGTTTCCTAAAACAGAAGCCTTAACAAGCTGGGAAGAACTTTTCACCAACCAAACAGAACAGAAAAACCAAGAAACTGAGTAGAGAGGATTCCACAGTTATTGAGACTCTACCGTCTTCCCCCCTTGCTTATCAGATGAAGAAACTGAGACCCAGGGATGGTGTTACTAGTTCATGATCACAAAGAAGAGCAGAAAGAGGAGGCAGAACTTGCCCTAGCCAGGCATTCTAACTTGTAGCCCAGAGCTGTATCAAGGCAAGGCACGTCCCTGGCCTCCACCCACAGTCCCATAAGTCTTTGCTCAATCTTCAGGGTTTTTGAAACAGAGAAAAGTTAAGATTTCCCCTTCAACAGAAGTCATGGGGACTCTCTGCAAGGCCTTGAGTATGCTGTCCATACCACCTTGAATTTCTTTTCCCACAGAAGTGCTTAAATGAGTCTCCATCCTTCAAGACCCAAGAGAATGTCACCTTCTTTGAAAGCCTTTCTGGATTCCCCCAGGGAAGCTGCTTGTGCTGTTCAGTTTCCCAGGTCCTGACCTTGCCCCAGCACTTAGAATACTTGATGGTGGTACTGGCTCTTCTCCATGAAATGCAGACCTGTGCTGGGATTTGTCTTTGTTACCCCAGTATACAACTTTAGCTAGGAAGGGATTGGCTGTGAGAACAAACTCCTGGGCAGATGAGGGGCTCGTACCTAGGTGGCAGCAGGGAGCTTAGGGTTGGCAGGTGCTGAAGGACCACGCACAGCGTGAGAAGGCGCTAATCTTGAAAATGATGGGCTTTTGACACAAACTGCCTAGAGGTGCCAAGCAGGTCAGGCTGACAGGCATAAAGGCACAACATTCTGTTATATGTGTAAAGGCCTCCAGGACTACTTACAAAGAGGCCTTATCTGAGGACTGCCATTGCTTTTCAGCGTTCTGTCCATGAAGACCACTTCTTTCCTTTTGCCATGGGTACAACTCCCAGGCCTGGCTGACCCAGAGATCAGGATCCAACAGGGAAGAGAAAGGTGGGTGAGAAATATCTGCTTAAGGACAGAGAACCAGATGAAAAAGCCAAAGTAACTATAACCATGAAATGTCTTCTATGTAAGTAATTCAAGAAAGGGTCTTCCAGGGCTGGAGAGACGGCTCAGAGGTTAAGAACACTTGCTCCTCTACCAGAGGACCTGAGTTCAGTTTCCAGTACCTACGTCAGGTGGCTTACAACTGCCTATAACTCCAGCTCCAAAACCCTTTTCTGGCTTCCACAATTACCCACACTCATGTACACACATACACACACACACACACACACACACACACACACACACACACACACCATAATAAAGAAAGAAAATAATGTAATTTTACAATAAAATTTTTAAAAATTTAAAAATAAAAAATACAGCCAGGCATGGTGATGCATGCCTTTAATCCCAGCACTCAGGAGGCAGAGTCAGGCGGATCTCTGTGAGCTCAAGGCCAGCCTGGACTACATAGTGAGTTCCAGGCCAGCTGGAACTACAGGGAGCCCCTGTCTCAAAAAAAAAAAAAAGACAAAAAAGACGAGAAAAAAAAAACTAAATAAAATAAATAAAATAAAAAATACAAAACACACAAAATTCTGGAATTTAGTATTCTATTATCCAGTGCACTTTAATTTCCTTGTTTACACATGGGCTCTGTGTGTACATAACAGTGGCACGAGCCATTCTCTAAATACAATCTGGTATCCAGACACTAACAGATGCACACAGAAGCGTGTGAGCAAACTTCTACACAGAGAAGCAAACAGCATGGCAGGACTCTGGTCAGATGCCCCCAAAGCCTCTTGTTCAACACTTGGAGACAACAGACGCTTTCCAAAAGATGATATGAGCCTATTCCAATGGGAGACTCAGGCTTGAGTGTCCTCCCAAAAGATGTTAGTTTCTCTGCCTTCTCCAGAGGAGTGGGAACACTCTGAACTCTCTGTTCAGAGAAAGAAGACAGGGAGCTAAGAGCCTGCTCAGCACATATGCGTACCACCCTTTATGGCTAACAGAATCATCTGCATCTTAGGGTCACAAGGTTGCCCATGTGGTCATACAGATCAGCAGTCATGCCAACATTCAACCTGCATCTCATGGCTGCTGCACTGCCTCACACAGGGAGGGAAGACAAGGGAGCTGAGAGGACTCAGAGTAGCTCAGAGGTAGAGGGCTTGGCCAGTACGCACAAAACCCTGGGTTCCATCCCTGGCACTCAGAGAAACCAAAGGTAGGTGCCAAGAGTGAGCACATGTAATGTAACCCGTCTAATCCATACAGAAATCCAGGCAACCGATAGTCCCCACATGAAGTCAAATTAGTGTTAAACCTGGGTCATATGAGAAAACTGTCTGGAGACTGAAGTGCCATTGATATGACAAAGGGACCTCTGGAGACACCTGTGTCTGCTCCCTTCTGGTGCTGAACATGAAGCTTAGGAGAGACTTCAACCTCTATGACCAGCCCCTGCCATCTGCAGCCTGTTCCCACCTCAGGGGACTGGTGGAAACTCCAGGGGGATGAAACATCCTCTCTGTCCACCTGCCACATTTGCCAAAGCACCATGGTGACACCTCACTGCCCATGTTTTGTCCCCTTTGGGGACAACATCTCACATCTTGTGTTTTAATAGTCAAGATGACTTGTAGGTCAACAGGATGTGAAATACATATTTTAAATATATCCTTATATTAAAAAATTTGAGTTTACTAAGCTCCTAAGAACCTGGGCTTGAGCCAGGCTGGTCAGGCCAGAGCTTATCATTAATCCTATTACCCAGCTCCACTAGGGAAGAGGCATCAGGCAGCTTCAAGGGCAATCATCCAAAAGGCCAGGGGCTTGGTTTGAAAGGTTTAGATTGTCTGGGAGAGGAGAGGAGTGTTCTTACAGAGATGGAACCATGTCAGGTAGGATGTGGTGACAGGACTTCTCACCCTAGCAGCCCCAAGGAAGGTCACATAATGTAAGGTTGGGAACTGGGAAGTGCTGCAAGGAGTATAAAAGGCTGACTGACTTCAGGGTGGGAACGGAACAGGAGTGTGCAGCCCTGTTAGTGGACGGGAAAGGGAGGTGGGGCCAAAGTCACACCACCATGACCTTGCACACAAACTGGCTTCTTGCATCAGAGGGAGACATCTTGTTACTTCTAAATTATCATAAGCTTGTCCAAAGGCAAAAATTGCTTGGGCCACAGCACATGGGCCAAGGCACTTGTCTAATGACCCTGAGCCCTGTTCAGTCTCTACCACTGGTCAGGAAAGTTTCAGTACCAACAAGTACCTTGCAAAATTATTCTCTTGGCTTAAAATTCATCAAATAATTAAAATGCCTGCTTTCCAGTTTTATTCTTGAAGAGGACACAGTCCTATGAGGTGAAATTTAATATGATAAGCCAAGAGTTTGGTTTATAAAAATCAAGTTAGTGTTCTAAAAAAAACAAGACAAAACCCTTCCAATGATTCCCACATGCCAAAGTGCAGTACTGCAGTTCTGTTAACAAAAAACAAATGTCATAGTTACTATTAAAAACTATACAGCACTCATTCCGAAGAGAAGTGGGGGATGGGGGTGTTCTTATTGCTCCAAAAACTAACACATAACAATACACAGTATGGACAGAAAAACTGTAACATTGTCTGCTACATAAAAATCATCCAGGCACTGCAGTTTCACGGGCCAGTGTTGGTGGCTGATCACAGCCGGGTGCAACTGTCAACAATCCACAGAGGAACTGAATACTGCAACCAGAGGACCCAGAGTGTCTTTTAGGCACTGGGTTTTTAATAAAGAAGCCTGGCAGAGACAGGTGCTTATGAAATTTGGCCAGGAAGAAATATTGTTAAAATAAGAGCATTCAAGTCACCTACCCCACCCCAAAACTTCCTGGTAAGCTTCCTCTCTGAGGTGGGACAAATAATTCAGCCAGTAACTGAACGAAGTAAGTGGAACATCTATTGGTCATTGACCTGCTGTCCCTCATTTTGTTTTTCTTTTACTTCTTGTAAGTATCTCGTTTCAAAGTCAAACTAGAGGTCTGGGGAGGAAGTCCTGGAGAAAATGATTTCAGATACCAGTACTTGTAGGTCCCATACCAGCCCAGCAAACCGAACGAGGTGCCAAATACTTTCTGGGTTAAGTTGTGGAAATAAATGGCTGTGCAGAGAAACATCCACATCCAGATGAGGGTCAGGAAGCCCAGGGCGACGACCAGGATGGTGGTGGCAATGTGGAGGCAGTGGCTGCGGTCCATCTTCACCTCCTGCAGCACAGCCATCTCCTCCACGATCATGAGGGCACAGAAGCTCAGAAGGAAGGAGTGACCCGAGATATCAAAGCCGTACCAGAAGCCCCCTTCCCGGTGGCACTGCTGCTTGCTCTGGCACTCTTCTCGGATGCCCTCCAGGGCCGGTGACTGGTAGCAGCTGCCTGTGAAGTGCTCGATGTTAGAGAACAGGGCTGTGCAGACATACCAGATAGCTGTGCCCACGAGCAGAGTGCTCAGCCGCCGCAGGACCAGGCTGGTCTTGCCCGTCAGATGGTAGTTGGTGAGGGCAATGAAAGGCAGGAGGAGAAAGACTGTCCAGGCCCAGGCCATTTTAACAAAATACCTGACAGAGGAGGAAAGTGTGAGTGAAGACGGGACATGGCAGACAGGAAACAATGTCATCAGGGTTCAGGTCTCTAGGCTCCCAAGGAAAGTTAAAAGAGAGAAATTGGCCAGGCGTGGTGGCGCACGCCTTTAATCCCAGCACTTGGGAAGCAGAGGCCGGCCTGGTCTACATAGGGAGTTCCAGGACATCTGGTGAAGTAATTGTAATTGTAATTATGTAACCCTTATGTCTGTGAGGTCTATACTGAGTCACAGATGTGTCATGCCAAAGAGGGGGTCGTAAGTGGTAGACTTGGATTCAAATCTGGGGCCTGGAGTTTTCATGTTATGCTATCTGCTCAGGAAAGCAAAAACTGAGCGTCCAAATGTCAGGTGCTTTCACACACATTCACTTTCCACTAACACATTCACAATTAGTCTAGAAGGAAGGGGTTGTTTGTCTTGAGATATAGTCTCATATAGCCCAGGCTGGCCTCAACCTGCTCTATAGCTAAGGATGACTTTGAATTACTGATCCTCCTGCCAAGTGGTTCTATTATAGGTGTGTGCCACCACAGTCAGTTTTATGCTGTGTTGGGGGTTAAAACCAGGGCTTTCTGCAACCCTCATTTGTCTCATTCTACAGGTGGAATCCGGGGCTCAGAAAACTGAGTACTTTGCTAAGACTACACACACAACAGCAAGCACAGATTGAGCCCCACTGTGCCCACTCGCAAAGCCCGTGCCCTCTCTACCATAGCACTGTTCTCTCCTACACGGCAGGTAAGTCTTGCAAGGAAGAGCTTTACTTCAAGCTACAAGACCAGGGTCCAAATTCTGACTCTGACTCTACTTGTTACTACATCTTGAGGCCTCAATCCCTCAGCTGTTAAAGTTGAGGGCATCAAGTAGCTTTCAAAATCCCTTCCAGATTCAATGAGTCACCACCAGTTCCCTCCCAGTAATCAGCACCATGTCTTGGAACAAAACACCAGAGTCCATGGCTACCCCTAAACAACAGGGAATGATGTGCCAGGTTGCTGGGCTCCTGGCTCACCAGACCAGATGAAGCAGTAGCTGCCATGTCTGCCTCTCCTGTGCACATGAAAGGTGGCTGACCTGAGCTCAAGCTGTGGAAAGCACACAAGAAAGAGACCTGAGGCCACTACCATTCTCATAGCCTATTCTTAGCTCAGCCGCTGAGGGTGGGTGAGGACAGGGTGGGCCAAGGACAGAATGCCTCTTTCCTGGGTTCCAGTGGTTTCTCAGATGCCACCCATGGGTCTGTCACTAAAACCTCCACTGGCACTGATAGAGCCTTCCCAGAGCCAAGACCTGCCAGGCATCTGCCAGGGAGAGAAAGCAGCTTTTAAGTAGATAAGAGTTGGGCAGACTCTCAAGATGCTGGACACTACATTGAAAAGTATTAGGTTCATGTCAACCAAGCAATTTTCATCCTTCAATTTCTCTGTATTAGTGCAATAGTGTTTTGCACAATAAACTTCTACTAGAGGCGTTTAAAAAGAATAGGAAAGAAGTGGGTAGGTGGAGTTAGATGTCCCAGAGTGCTCAGCTGGGCAACTGCCATGCACTTTCGGTGACTGAGAAAGTCCATGGAGATCCAGGGGAAAGGTCACTCTTATACCAGTATCAAGCCCTGGGGATCATCCCTGCTTGGGAAGAGCCCTCTAGAGTGTGGTGGGTCAGGAGGAGGTCTTTAATCGATAGTGGTGCGATTCTGTCACAGAGGCTGGGGGGGGGGGGCTGACAGGGCCGGCAGGAGCAAGGTGACATGTCCCCAACAGGGCAGGGGCCAGCTCGTAACTCCGCGGGAGAGCAGCGACACTGTGTATTCAGAGTCCAGCCCACCCCACAGCGCTGCACGCACTGCCACTCACAGGCCTGCCCGGCCCGGCTGTCCCATCCGAATCTGCACACGCGAGGCGTGACTGACACTCGCTCTTGCCGGGTCCCGGCGTCGCGACACGCGCGCCGATGCGGCTGTCGCGACCGGAGGAAGGCTTTTCTCTCCGGATGCCTAGTCCGCCCTGACCGCGAACCTGCTTCTCGGGGCGACGGGGCGGGAAGCGGGGTGCACTCACATGTTAAGGACGTTGCGCTTGTTGCTGAGGTAGCTCTCGGGCAGCGGTGACAGCTCCTTGAGGATCGAGCCCGCCAGCATGCCGGCCGCCAGCACCCAGGGAAGGTAGCGCCGCACCGCCGCCCTCACCAGAGTCCCGCGGAGAAACCACGCGCACCGCTCCAAGTGCTCCATGCCGGACCGTCTCGGCCACCGTCCGCCGCCCAGCGCCCTCTCGGCCACCGTCTTGCCCTTCTGCCGGGCTGGCGGTACCGAGGGCGCATGCGCATTTCCACAGGCCCCGCCCCCTGAGGGCTCACGCGCGCTCCCTCTAGCGGCCACAAGTGGCCTCTGCAGCGCGCGGGTTTTAACTGCGGCCTCTCTCCCTGCCTTAGCTGCGGGTTGATGTCACAGCATCGTTTAGTTTCTCTTGGAGACATCGCCATCAGACTCTCCGTATTATATAAACAAAATTAAAATAACTAAAAAACCCATGACTTCCTAATATTTTGTTATGTTTTATTATTATCTATGTTCTTGTTTGTTCATTTCGAGACAGGGTCTCATTATGTGTACCCTGGCTGGCCTGGAACTCACCACGTAGACCAGCCTGGCTTTGAACTTTGACGATGTAGCGTCTTCATGCTCTGTCTCCTTCTTGAGTTCTGAGATTACAGACATGTACCATTACCTCCAGTTTATCTGTATTCTTGAGATTATTGGCATGTAGTATGCCTGCCTGGTATGCCTCTGTGCTCTTTTCCCACCTCTGTAGTGTTACACAGGGAGCTTGAAAGCAGTCATAGTGGGAGTATTTACACTAAGGAAGTTGACAAGTGCTACAGATCAGTGCTACCTTATTTGGTTGTTGACTGTTTACATTGGGATATAACTCCATTTGTTAAAGCATGACTGAAGTGAAATCATGGATGGGCTACAGAACAAGCATCCAGCAAAATTCAGTAAAAAGCATCGTGAGCATCAATGAACTATATTTACAATAAAGGGTATTGTAGGGGCCGGGGCTGTAGCTCAGGTGGTAGATTGTCTAGCATGCATGAAGGCCTGGGTTCAATTCCTAGCACTGTGTACACTGCCATGGTAATGCATACCTGTAACCCCAGCACTCCAGAAGTCAAAGCTCAGTTACATAGTGAGTTCAAGGCAAGCCTGACATACATAAGACCACTCTTCTCAAAAAAAGAAAGCAAGGGGCTGGAGAGATGCCTCAGCACTTAAGAGGACTCCCTGTTCTTGCAGAGGATCTGGGTTGGGTGCCCAGCACCCTCCACATGGTGGCTTACAGCAGTCCTTAGCTCAAGTCTTAAGGGATGCCCTCTTTTGGCCTCTGTGGGTATTTGCAGGAATGGATGCACTACATATATTCAGGCAAAACATTCATACACATTAAATAAAAATAAATAAAAATTTAAAAAAGAAAAAAGTATCACGCATTTCATGGTTTATAAATCATGTGCACCACTCTTTATATTGAAAGTTTTTTTATTTTTTAGGAAAAATTTACCAAACCTGTATATATATCTACTTTATACATGTTCCTCTAGAGAGCTCATTAATAAACATTTATCAGCAAATCACCATTTGTGATCCAGCACACACACAAGAAACACATGCAGTTTATAAGCAGCTATATATGCTAATACAGGTATAGATAGTGTTAGATACAGCTTCATGAAAAATATGTTTCTACCATGTGAAGCACTGTGATATTTTCTACTCAATTCAATCTTCTAAAATGGCCAGGTGTGGGATGTAGCTCACCTGTAATCTCAACACTTGCAAGGATTCTTGCAAGTCTGAGGGCAACCTGGTCTACATGATGACTTCTAGGTCACCCAGTGCTCCAAGAACCTATGTTCAATCCCTAATAGTGAAACAACAATAATAACAAAAAAAACTGGTCATGATCTACTGCTCATTTTATTTATTTTTGTATTTTATGTGTATGCCTGCATGTGTGTAAGTGTACCCATGTCCTGCTATGCCCAAGGAGGTCAGAAGGCAGCTTTGGATTCCCCTGGAACTGGAGTTACAGATGGTTGTTAGCCACCATGTTAGGGCTGGGAATCAAACCCTGGTCCTCTGCAAATGCAGCCAGTGCTCTTAACTACTGAGCCATCTCTCCAGTCTGAATTTTATAGTAATATATGAAAAATACAGCATCTGGAAAATTTAAGGCATTCAAGAACCTTAAAATTTAAGGCATTCAAAAGCCCTAGAGGGGGATAGAAGTTTACAAGTAGGGTCTGGTAAGGTGCTTGCCATCCAAACATGAGTGTTATAGGTCAGAGTTCGCAAAAAAATTACCAGCACCATTTTAAGAAAAATAGCAAGATAAATTTTAATTTTTGACCAGCTGGGCTGACTATCTCAGGAGTAGAAGCAGCCCTGATAGATTGTCGGGTCAGAGTTTTTATAGGATTATAGAAATATTATTAAAACAGGACACTTGTGAACCAATCAGGTTAGTACAACATAGCAGAACTTTGACTCTATTAATCAACAATCAATCATTATACAGGCAAGTGATACAGTCATATAACTTGGCAATCAACTTTGTAATTTTAAAATTAGTCAACTTCCTAGCCGTAACAAGTATAGTAAGAAAGCTGAAATCAGCAGTTACCGGTGGTCATACAATAACGGGGTGGTCTTATACTTTGTGTCAAGGTGACCTAAAATAGCAAGCGAGTTACAGAAGAGTAAACAAGCAGTTAACCAGATGTAAAATGTCTAGAATTAGCACATTCCGTGGTTCATAGCTAGGACAGTTTCCCAAGACCCAAGGTTTCCCCCCTTTTCCTTTTGGTGTGGAGCAAAGTTGCTGCTAAAATGGCTCTGAATAAAATGGAGTAACTTAGGTAAGTTTGCTGAGTCAGTTCAGTGAGGACCTGAGTTTGAATTGTCAACCCTCACATAAAAAGGCTAGCTGCCGAGAGGTGTCCCTGTAATTCCAGAACTGGGGAAGTAGAGACAGATGGAACCCTAGGGCTTGCTAGCCAGTTCATCTAGCCGAATCAGTGAGCTCCAGATGCAAGAACAGCCAGTGCTCTTAACTGCTGAGTCATTTCTCCATCTTCTAGAAGAGAAGTTTTTATTTTGGCTCACAGTTGCAGAGGTTTGGTTCACAGTTGGCTGGTTGGTTACCTTTAGGTTTGTAACAAGACAGTCCTGACAGAAAAGCATAGTGGGGCTGTTCACCTCACAGCAGCCAGGAGAGAGAGAGAGAGAGAGAGAGAGAGAGAACTAGATGGAAGATAAAACATCCTCAGTAACCTACTTCCGACCAGGCCTCATCTCCTGCTTCCAGCTCTTTACAACAATTCTATCGTTATGAATCCATTGATGGGTTAACCCACCAGTAAGTTCAGTGCCCTCAAGATCCAGTGATGTCCCAAAGAGTTGGCTGCCATCAATGGCAGCCAACTCTTTAACATTTAAGCTGCCTGGAGATAGTTCAGATTCAAACTATTACTATATTGAGCTGGGTTTGGTGGCACATGCCTGTAATCCCAGCACTCAAGAGGCAAAAGCAGGAGGATCACAGAAGTTACAGCCATCCTGAGCTACAAAGAGAGTTCCAGGCCAGTCTGGGCTACAGAGTGAGACCTTGCCTCAATAAATAAATGAATGAATGAATAAATAAATAAATAAATAAATAAAATGAAAGAGCAAGAAAGGGAAATAAAAAATGAAGGAAAGGAGTCAGGCATGGTGGTGCATGGTTTTTTTTTTGTTTGTTTTTTTTTTTTTTGGTTTTTTTGAGACAGGGTCTCCCTGTAGCCCCAGCTGTCCTGGAACTCACTATGAAGACCAGGGTGGCCTTGAACTCACAGAGATCCACCTGCCTCTGCCTCCTGAGTGCTGGGATTAAAGGCATGTGCCACCACGCCCAGCCCCTCTCTCTTTTTTTAAAGACAAGGTCTCATGTAGGCCAGACTGGCCTGAACTCAAAACATAAATCTAAGGATGAACATGAACTCCTGGTCCTCCTGCCTCTACCTCCAGATTGCTGGGATTGCAGTCAAGTACCACCACATCTAGCTCTTAAAATATAATTTATAATTTGTTTATTCATTTATTGCCTTTCTGTCTCCCCCATGTGGGTGCCAGACCCAGAAAGCAGGGAATGTCATCTGTTTCATTCACGGACGCATCCCAGTGTCTAGAATGGTGTGTGACATCTACTAAACAGTCAAAAATCTTTGTAGCTGAATAAATCAATGAATTGTTATTGTTCCTTTTGGTGCTGGGCCTCAAACCCAAAGCCTTGTTTGTGCAAAGCAAATACTCTTTTCCTGAGTTATATCTCCAACCTAAAGGGGTGTGTTTTTGAATTAGAAATTGCTTCTTTATAAACAGAAAATAAATAACCAAAAATGATAGCTTTGAAATGATTACTTCTTTAATCTTAAGTAGTTCTCAACAATAAGAACAGCTATGAAAAATGAGCTGTGAGCTCCAAAGTCTGGAAGATGCTAAGATGAAACGATGGGTTTGGCAGAAGATGCTTGGGCCCTGGAGGAGAGAAGGGTCAGGGGAAAGTTCTTGAAAGTGCTGGATTCTTGCTAAGCAGAGGTCTGATGGCTTGACCAGTGATCCACCAGAGGGGCAGTGGGAAGCGGTCACTCCAGGAAGGCTGACCAGTAATTCCCTTTTGTTGGCTGGAGTGCATGAAATAATTCATTCAGGAGAGACAGCCAGGCCAACTCTCCCAGTAGGCGGCTCTCTTTGTCTACAGCTCCTAGCCAGGAAGAGGAGTGTTCACTACAGCATCAATTTCTTCCTTCTGAACTGTCTTCTGCCAAGTCTCTCCCACCAGGAACCACTTCTTCTGACTCAAGGAAATAACCAACCACTGCCTGGAGTGGTGGCCGCTGAGCAAAGCTGGTGTCTGCCAAAGGCCAGGCCTCCTGCCTGCGGGGCTGGAAGAGGCTTGCATCCCTTAACTGTGCCTCTAACACAAAACCTTAGGTCCCCTATCATACTACTCCTCACTTAGGCACAGAGGCAGCAGGATTGCCACTAAGTGTGGGACCCAGCTTTGCTCAGCTCTAGGGAGAAGTGCAGGGGGCATGCTTGCAACACTAACTACCCCAAGGAGACTGACATAGAGTTTCCATCTAAGGCCATAGCTCCTGCAGACCCCAGACCCTCGGATCTCAGGCAGCCAAGGGCCCAGGCCTGGGAGGAGGGAGCTGGTACTTCCAGCATGAGCACTGATAAAACCAGAA